TTGCGCTATATAAATAAATGAAATTTAATTAAATTTAATGATGTTCCCCTCATTCACTTCCTGTAAAATCCAGAATAGAATTTAAAATCCTTTCTTATGAATAAAGCCCTAAATAACTAAGCCCATCTTATATCAGGGATCTGATTATTCCATTTGTTCCTAACAGAGCACTTCACTCTCATCCAGCAGGTTTACTAGTGGTTGCTAGAATTTTTGAAAGTACCGTAGAATGGGAGGCAGATCTTTTAGTTATCAGGCTCCTCTCAATTGGAACCACTTACCAGTTTTGGTGTCTGATGCACCCTTATCAAGTAAACTGATTTTATGGAGTTCATTTCAGCCTAATTTTGATCATCCACAAAGAATTAGCGCAAGATCCTCCAACTTAAAGAAATCATTAAGCCTGAATGAAGCATTAAACATGAGCAGAGAGAGGAACTATTGTGTAAGTCAAGTCTCAGCTGTGCTTCCTGTAGAAAGAGGAAGTGGCCTTCTAAGATTATACAATGATAGTGGTTTTAAATGGTTCTGACAGAGGTGACTAGGAAGTGAAATGGAATCAAGGTGAAAGCAGATTTCAGCAGATATGAGATGAACTCATTGCTATGAAAATCAATAATTTATAAAGATATGAGTGTGAAGTTGGGTGGAGACTTTGAGGACCCAAATGCATAGATGATTTTTGCAGATTTAATTAAGGATAACAGGCAACTGAGACAAAAATCCAGAAAAATGCAGAATACTGAAAACCAAACAAAATCCAATAAGCAACAGGGAAAATACTAAAGGGAAGCAAGAGGCAAGGAAGCAACTAAACAACATCAAGAAAACAGGAGACAAGAACTACAGAGGTGGAAATTATATGGGGAACAGAACAAAGGATGGGTTAATGAGTGAAGGGGAAGGGAACAGACACAGGGGGGCAACAGAGAGTAACTCAAGAAATACCAAACTGAAAGAAAACAACTACAAAAATACAGTATAACCAAAAATAAACTGAAACAGAGGGCAAAACCCTGGCATTGAGTTTATCAATAGATTATGGGAAAAGTTGGGTTTGTAATAATGATACTTTTTAAACAGTGAACAGAAAATTATTTTTAGTGAGAATTATGAAGGGGTTGATATTACACTGGACTGGTTGGAAAGTATCCAGCGAACCAAAGCCATCAAATGATCAAAAGGCTTTGAAACTTACGTAGCCACCATGACAAAAGAACTATCTTCCTTCTTTCTTTCATATGTCAACTTTCTTCAGTAACAACTTAAATAGATCAGCACTGATAGCAAACAAAACATAGATGAGTGCCCGCTTTCACACAAACTCGTCTCTGATTGGACATAGTCTTCTAATTGCGTTGCAATCAGACTGCGTTCTGGAGCTTTGAAATTACAAAACTTATTATTATTTAATATCGTAGGACAGCTCAGTTAATTTCTTATTTCTGGAATGAAAAAAATATCTGGGGCTTGATGAGAATCACACAAGGCTAGAGAAAGGAATGCTCGGGCCAAGTGATGGGCCTGGATTATCCTCAGCTATCTCAATAGTTATGGTGCTATGGGCTTAAGCTGCCTGGGGACATAGGGAAAACTTTTCATCATTCTACTTTTTGTTTCTACTGTCAAATTTTGCAGTATTCTTCAGTTCAACACCCAGCTATATGTTCTTTTTATATTTTCTCTTTATAGACGCTCCATTTGGTCTGGTTCTTTTAGGCTGTGACACCATCCAGGAGGAAGTCATAAGCCCCATTTACACTACCCTCTGAAAACCGATCGGTGCCGAGCTTGGATCAGTTGACCATGCCAGTGGTGTAGTCTATGTGATACGCGGGTATATGCCGTATACCCATTAGAAAAGCTCGTGAGTTTCCGTATAACCACTTAAAAGTGCCCAACAATGCTGCGTTCACACCGGAGCATTGCAGCAGGCGCAGCGAGTTTACATGCAAAGTCAATGGTTGACACGCGTCAAGGCGCAGCAAAAGGTCCCGCAGTGCTTTTCAGCAGCAGGTGCGTGCACCGCGCCGCAAACGCGCTGCTGCTCCAGAAGGAAAAATTTAACTTTTGCTGCTGGACGCGCCGCATCAACCAATCACAGACGCTGATCTGGGAGCTGGCAGGGTGACAGACAGATCTCTGATGACACAGAGAGCTATGATCACTCCTCTGAAACAGTTTATTAATGCCTAAATTAACGGAAAATGCTGAAACC